AAAGATTTTTCTCTTGCTTCCTGTTATTTAATACTACGAAGCAGAACAATTTATTTTTGGGCAATTTTTTCCCCAACAGCACTGAAAGCATTTTTATAGAGAATAGTTAACCGAACAGTTCTTTGTACCTCCTTATACCAAAACAAATCGTATTAAAACCTGTTTGAAGGAGGAAGTCAGATAACAACTGAGATTAAATGCAAAACTAACTATATAATGACAAAGCAATAATAATGGAATACTTTTCCCATGCATCAGACAATTAGCATGTTGATGTGGTTCACCTGATTATAGAAAGTACAATAAAGGGTTTGGATTTTAAGAACTTACGAAGATGTTTTGCTATCTCGAGACCATTTTTTAATTTGGGAGAGTTTATTGATTAGAAATATTCCTTTTCCTTGAGCTTTGCCACAAGGTTTCATAATCCAAGTGCTGGAGGGATTTTTTCTGAATTCTTCAACAAAGAGATTATAATCGGCAGGAAGCATAAAAGTAACAGGAACAAAATCTGAGTTAAAGGAAAAAAAAAAAAGGTGCACAATTAAGGACACTAGAGCTGATAAGGCTATTGACATATATAGACTGAAAAAAAAAAAAATTTCTGTCTTTTCAGTTTTCCAGTCTGGCATGACCCACCCTCATTAAGACTCATGTTGCTTTCTATTTAATTTAAATTCCAGTTTGTAGTTTTTACTTAAACAAACAGTTGCAAAATATTGCACGCTGCTAACTTCAGATTAATAGATCTAAATTCACATGAATCAATTTTCTTTTTCTGTTTATATGCTGTGAAATTAAAAGTATTATATAACATTCCAACTTAACTTTATCAAACTTTGTCAACTTCTTTTGTCAGCTTTTACCATTCTGCTAACCACCTTATCCTCTATGCATGCAAAAATGTGGATCTTGATGTTGCTTCCCCCTTGGATGTGTTAATTTTTATTTCCATGTAACTCCCACTAGTCATTCTTATTTGGTCCCCAATCAGTATTACCACATTTACTGAAATCTAAAGAAAAGCATTTCCCACTTTTCACTACCGGGTTATCTTCACTTCCATCCATACAGAACTGCTTCTTTATTACACAGATGAACAGTGCTTTCACTTCACTTTCACAAGATGTAAATCAACCCAACATATCCCTGTCTCTGTTTCACTCCAATGTTTTCTGACCTCCAAAACAACTTTACTCTCCTCATTCCTGATCTATTGCTGGTTTGGTTTTGGGTTTTTTGTGTTTTGGGTTTTTTTTTTAATTTTATTTTCTAGCAGTCATTACATGTTCTCCAACTTCCCCCAAATCTCTCCTCTGAAGAATTTGTTCATTCAGTTATGTCTAGAGCCTTTCTGCAAAAGTTCATTTTAGTTTTTGCTCCAGTATAAGATTTTTCAGATAATGTTTTTTCACTCCCACCTGTTACATATAAAGTTTCAAAGCCCTTTGGATTCACCACTAATCATATTGCAAAGTACCTTAATCCCACAATTTTCCCTCTTCGAAATAATTTTTAAAAACCCAAAACAAAACAACAAAAAAAGCCCAGCAAAAACTCAACCAACCCACCCTTCCCCTCCTCCAGACTTCCCCCCCCCAAACACAAAAAGCCTAGTTACAAATCTATTCCTCTAGCCTTACATTTTAAGACAATTAATTTCATTATCACTTCATCTAGTGTTGCTTCAGCTAATGCTGCACTGTTAAATTCAGTCTTAACTTTAAGGACCTTACTACTTACAAAACTATGTCTAAATACAACTTCCATGCATACAAGCTAGATTTGTTCTCCTCCTTGAATACTGCTGAATACTAGCAAGTACACAGTGGAGGAATTGGGGCTTTGTGCTGTGGTTAGATGATAAACAGAAATGTTCAATCTTTTATTCCTGCTTTGTCTCTAATTTCAACAAAGAACCTGAACAAGTGGCATCCCCTCTACTCAATTTGTAAAATATTAGCCATTACCCTTCAAAGCAAGGGTTGTGAAAAGCTTTGAAAATGTAGCAGTTAATATGAAACGTTCACTACTACTGTTTTTACCACTTTCCCAATTCTTGTGTTTCCTTATGCTCTAATGGCAGATTTAAGAGGAGGGAAAAGGAGAAGAAGAGAGAGAAAGGCGGCTGTTAGGGTTGCAGAATGCAGCAAACTATTTCAGGATAAAGTGCACTTTATTCTATTTAATTGACAGGGACAGATAGTCACTTTAATGTTCTAACACTTCAGAGGTTCAGTGCATTATGCCCAGAAAAGCTAGCTCAATTCCAGGTTATTGACCACAGGGGAAAGAAAGATTAATGCTGATAATAAGAACCACATACCCAAATAAATATATTTCCCATTTTCATCCTTTTCAGCAAGAGGACTTCCTTCTTTCTCAAGTTCTTTCCTATATCGCTTGATATTCTTTACCATCAAATCTTTTCTGGTCAGTTCATAATGGTTTGGGAAATGATTGACAATTTGGTCATCAGAGAGGCGGTAACCAGTTTCCACACTGAAAACATTTCTGATTGTTTGCACACTCATCCTGAAAGCAAAGACAGATACCAAATGATTTCTCCCAAGAAACACATCTCAGGAGAACAAAGTTGATTTTTTTTTTTTTTTGTATTACATTCACTTCATCTTTTCTCTCTCATTTCTCTTTATAATACAATATTTTGCTGCAGTGACAATCCAACACATCCTGAAGCTTGATTAGGAAAACCGATGAAATCCTGCCAGAGGTTTTATCGATCCCTCTACTACTACTGAAATTGGGGCAGACAGTGAGGAAAGGAAGATGACAACTTGGCCCTACTGGATTCTGTTGACAGTCAGGTCAACCTCCAGCAGGGCCTAAAAATGACTGATATGCACCGAAATGCTACAGAAGCATCTTTCTACGCCTTTTACTTAGCTCTCTGGAAACTCAGCTTTCCACTTAAAAAAAGCCACAAAAACCAACTTCCTACTGACTACCCTGCTATCCAGATTGTAAAGGACATCAAACATATGGATTGAAAACAGCGATTCAGAGACCTTGTTAAAAATACCTGTAAACATCAGATCAGAGGGGCTGCAGTGACAAAGTCATCAAATCAGTTATCTACTTCATTTTTCACAGAAGAGAAGAACAGGGCCACAGATACAAAGTATTTTCTGTATTAGATGTCTTACATTGGAAATTTAAGAATATTTCCTGAATGCCATCAATCTGATACGTTGTAATTTCAGGAAAAAAACCAACAAAACCTAAAACAACCAGTCACACAACAGTTTCCATGAATGCCCTGTTCTCCCGCTCCCCCCAATCGCATTCCAAAAGCATGAGCAGATTACTAGATTCCTACCCATTCAAATAAGTGGTTCACAAAGGGTACATTTGGCAGCATAATCAGCCATTCTGTCGTATTCGAAAGGGACAATATAAATTGTTTGGTTTACTTCAGGAGTATTGTTTCTGCCAATTAATAGATTACTGCATTCTAGGACAGCATTTCACGGTCTTATATTAGACAAATGCCAAATAAGAAGCTAGATTATTTACTCTCACCCTTTCACCATTATCTTGGTTTAATTTCACATTCACTCTCAGTATTGACATGGTGAATAATTAGTCTGCATATAAATCACTATCCTGAAGGAGAAGGAAAGTACAGTTCTCAAGGCCTTTATTACAGGAGCCTGAACTTTGGTAACAAGGCAAGCCTCCATCACATTGATAAAAGAATATTTTATCATATATTGGAGCTGTGTACTCTTGGATTATTTTACTTAGGTTGTGTAGTCAGGAAATTTTGGGAACAGATATGTTCAAAGATTCCTCTCAGGCCACAAACCCCCTCCAACAGTAGAGGAAAAATTCTCCTTACTGAATACTAGAAATTTGAATACAATCAGGTATCACATTTCAAACCAAAAAATACCGAGCACAGCCTTTCCCCTGGGCTTTTTACAATTGGTATTCACAGAAGCGATTGGTATCTTGCTAGGTCAGTGACTTTCCACTCCCTGTCAAAACCTTTGGCAAGCTGCGAAGATACATGAGATCAGTAGCATGGGAATGGACCCATGCGGATAGGACCTTCTGCCCTGAGGAACACCAATGACTTTAGCAGGCCTGCACAGATACAGGAACCTACCAACACAAATCTGAACAGAAGATGAGCAACAGCGCATTACAGGAGCAATGAAACAATGTTACACTCTTAGGAGCACTGCGGTAAATTAATGCTAATTTCTTGGTTTTAATGTGTGTTTTGTCATATTACTAATGGTATTAACATGAGGTACTAAGATACTTCACAAATTTAGAAATTGGTGTTTTTCATGTACTTACCAATAAAAATTCCAGTCTTCATTTTCTGCCACCTGGATCCAGCCTCTTTTTTCAAAGTTGTTTATTAGAACAGATTTTTCTATGTCAGTTACCCACTTTACTTTTCCTGCCATTATCCTAAAGCAGAATCAACCTGTTAGTAAAAAGAAAATTTAAAGATGGGAAGTTGAAAACCGGGGAGAATACAAAACAGGGAAGTCAAAGAGGAAGAAAAGTGGCATCTGGAAAGCACTTTAAGTAAGCTAGAAGTAGTAAATTAATTTAAAAATCAAGCAAAATAACATCTGAGGTTCAGTCTGAAACCCTGCATTTGTCAACTGGACAACTACAAACATGGACACTAGTTACAAGGCCCTTTCACACTTCCCAGCCAACCTATGTTTTATGAACGGGCACACAGCTCATTTCTCCTCTTAAATACACTAATGATAGAAATCACTATCATACGCTTACTGTGTAACATTTACATAAACAAGTGTAGATTACATTAGTTTTATAATCTCTAACCAAGACTTATTTGCATATATCTTTTTTGAAGTTGGAGAGTTCACATGGATCATTTAGTGACTGCAGACAAAAAGAAAACAATTCCAAGAGAAATCCTTATATGCCCTACCAAGAACCATGATTTGCTATACTGAAAAGGAAAGGAACCAAAGTAACATTACCAACTTTGTGTTGTCTTCTCTGTATTTCATGCAGCTGTGATTTTGCCTTCTGCTCTAGCTGGGGGCGTGGAATAAACTGGTATCATTAAACCCTTGACAGCAGGATTTCCCCAGACCTAAGGCTGCTAGAACAGTCCTTATAAGCTGCATTTCAATCCATGACACCTAGGTGTCACTTTCTACATTAGATCTCTCGCTTGCCCAGATCAGCCTTTTCTGTTAGGATCACACAATCATTCTGGTTTGAAGTGATCTCAGGAGGTCTCCTGTCCAGCCTCCCACTCAGCACAGGGTTAGCTATCAGGTCAGATCAGGTGGCTCAGCGTTTTATCCAGCCACATTTTTAAAATCTCCAAAACCGCACAGCTTCTCTGGCCATCCTGTCTCATGGCTTGACTGGCCTCATGCAGAAAAGGGTTGTTTTGGGTTTTTTCCATATATTTTTTCCATATATTCTGAACCTCTCTTCTTCCATCTTATTCCTGTTGTCTCTCATCTTCTCCCCCCCTTCATCACCCTGAAGAGCCTCGGTTCATCTTCTTGATAACCTCTCCTAGGTACAAGCCACCCCAGAGCAACCTCGTCTCCAGGCTGAAGAAACACAGTTGCCCCAGCTTCTCCTCACCAGGCAAGTGCTTCAGCCCCCTAACCATCTCGGTAACCCTCCGCTCAATTCACCCCAGTTTATTGATGTCTGTCTTGCTCTGGGGCGGCTCAAGTTACTTTTTCCAATCTTCTGATACATCCTTGTTACATCCTTGCCCTTTGTGCTTGAGAAAGACAGCCAAGTCTAGCAAGGTGGGAACACACAACAAATGCACTGAAGAAGGAGCGAGGACAAGCCCAGCACCCACAATTGCTGCCACGCTGAAGGGCAGCCTGAAGCCTTCTGACAGCAGCAGGCACTCACCTGCTTGCACTCCCCTTTACAAGGGCTGTTTGGCACAACCACCTTCACATGGTGTCTCATACCATGTGTTAATGTAATACCAATGAGGATGGGGACAAACAAACATGAACTGAAGCATGTCGTCCTTCGTGCGTCCATAGCCTAGAGCCAAAAGCGTACAATCCAGTTGATGTGGACAGAGCACTATACTTTATACAACGTACAACATCTTTACCCCATCTCCAAGTAAGTGGTGAAGCCCAGGCTCCCAGGATCGAGGCCTGATTGATATACAACTATTAAGCAAGCTAACTTATATTCATGAGCAAATAATAACTGGTAAAGTCAAGGGTAGACACCTCTGATAAGCAGATTCAATGTCGCTGTTTAGTCTTCCTGCAGTTCATGCCACAGATTACTTTTACTATTCCAGTCTAGCGAATTTTCATAGTTACGTTTCACAGAAATCAACTGCAGAGAAGTGCCGATTCAGAAGAAAATCTCTTTGAGCCAAAAGCGGGTTCTTTCCACATGCCTCTCCCAAGAACAACAGCCCCCCCAAGCAAGCGAGTGGGAGAGAGCAGAGTTACACACACACACACGTAACACCATCTACTGCTCCCTCTCCATATACTTTTCCATTGAAAAGTCAATTAGAACTTCAAATCACCTTTACTAATGTAGTACTGTAATTAACGCAAGTCAGTAACGAATGTAGTTAATATAATTTCTGCACCTAAGACATTGGACTAGAATTCAAGGGGTCTTCAGTTTCCAGGACCAGATATGGAGATGTACATCTGCTAGCGAGCTAACACCCCTACAATTTCTCTCTTCCTGAGAGGCACAGCCCATTATATAGTGCTCCCACATTTCCTTCCTAGACTATTTAAACTGTCAAAACTCCACAAGGCAGAAATGTTTTCTGTTAAGACTTAAACTTTGAAGAGCTTTAGACACACTTATTCACATCAGGAAAACGAGTTGAAATCAAGCCTCAATAGACAGATAGAAAGAGAGTATATGCAGTCTCAGGCTCTTTTTGTGTGTGCTTATACAACACCTAGTTCTGCAAGGTCACCATCTTTCTCTGGGCCTTTCAGATACTACCAAAACAAAACCAAATGAAACAAAGGGATTCATTTGTTTGCACTGGAGTATATGTGATTCACAATCTGTGACTCACGAGTACCACACACCATCTTGTTGTGGTTTTAAAAGTTCAGGGATTAGTCAGCTTGGAATAGAATTGTCCCTTCAAAAGGAAATGCGTTGAATGCCACAACAGCGATAGCCAAACACAACGTAAGATTTTCAAAAGGCCTTAAACTGTGTCCCTCCACATCTCCAAGCCACCCCATTGGGTTTGCTAACACCCAACACCAACGCTATACCTGTTTCTCTGTTAACTGACTCCCTGATCTTGCTCCCTGCTTCCCATGTGTGTCTCACCCCAGCATCCTTCGTACAGAAGCTACAACTACCTTCAGGGCTTGGTCTTCCAGAAACGCTGCATCGGACAAACCATAGCCGCCTGCGCCTCTGTCTTTATAGAAGCATCAAGAGCTGCTGCCTGGCAGAGATGAAGAGACCGGGTGCGCTGCCACAAGCTGGGCTTCTTTGCCAACATTTCTAATGCTGCAACCTCATTTCTACCCCAGGGATGCACCAGCCATCACAGCATCCTTTCTACGGGGGTCTTTGTAAAGAGATTTCAACGCATGCTACACATCCTACAGCAAGGAACCTTGAACAGCATGAACAACTGCAGGTACTGATCCAGCAAGCGGATTTTGTGGTAACAAGAGGGACTGCTCTATGACTCATTGTGCTGTCTTACTCCCAGAGACTACACTGTTTGACTTCAGAAGCCAGAGACAATTCGACAGAAGACTCACCCACAGGAAGGAGAGTTAAAACTAAAGCAAAGCTAAAAAATGAAGATTACTACTACCACAAATAAAAAGAAAAATTACAAGAGTATCATTCTTTTCCTGTTTTGGAAACTTTAGGCCTTATAGATCCATCCCACTGCAGAAGGATTGAAAGGATAGCAATACAACAGCAGACTGAAAATTAGTCCTTGGTTTATGCAGACAGTTTAATCATCTCAGATGATGTTTAACTGGCCTGTAAATAAAATCTTCTGATTTTGTGCAATTTGATTACTGAAACCTAAAAACAGGAGTCACAAAAAATAACGTATATTAAGTTGTACCAAAAACTTTCTTATTTTCAATAATATAATTTTAATACAACATAATTTTCTGTAAGAATCCTCTAATCCACAACTAGGTATCCTAGATGACCTGATGAGATTGCACGAGATAATCACGCATTCAAACTTCTGGGCAGTCGAGATCCTTAGCTTCGGTAAACATCAAAGAAGAGCTGTATAACGCAGCCCTAGCCTGCATACAGTAGGGTAACAGTACCGTAAGTCAAATCCTTCTCAGTGCACCAGACCTCCTACTCAGGAGACACGTATATAAAATAGGCACAGCAAGCCTGACACTGCCTTTAACTGGTCACAGCAACAGCAAGCAAATGTAAGGAAGCCTGGCAAGCAGCCTAACCTAAGCCTGGCAGCAGCCTAATCCAAGGCAAGGGCCTCTTGCCCTGGCACAAATTCACGAGGTGACGGTAAGACCCACGAGTACCCCGGTCACCATTCTTCCTGGGATTTACTGCCACCAGGGAAGCTACGCACACCGATGGCAGACCATCCTTTCACGCTGCAAAATAAGTGTCAGTAAGCGGTGCCGGTGTCTCCAGCACCCGGTCCTAGAAAGCTCTGTTTGCTTCTAACAGCTGAAAACATAATCATCATTCATTTTTAAGTTTATTACTGGAAAAATCCAGTTCGGCTGATGCAGTTGTGCCATCAGAGGAGACTGGGAGGGCCTGACAGAGCGAGTCCCAAAACGCTAGGGACAAAAGTCACCAGAGACCGAAAACAGCTGCATGGCTGAGCTGTCGGAAACGACAAGCCCAGGGGAGCAGATCACCAGACGCCCCGGAAGCAGACACGTGCATGCGAGACGATTACCTCCCCCCTCCATCTCCCAGGAAGGGTCGCGATCCCACAGGGATCTTCAGCTATCGCGATAGTCCCGGTGGGAGGGAGGCCCAACACCTCTCCCGACGGCGGGGGATTGCAGCCCGCAGTGTGTGTGCGCGTGTGGGACAACCTAACCCGCGCCGCCGCGCT